AAATTTTGATGATTAAGCATGCTCATTCAAATGCATTGCCATGTGAAAATTTGACCCAAATCTCTAATGTTTTTAATCTTTGGGCTTTCTCCAACAAGGCTTCATTATCTTTTTTGGGCATTGCATGTGGGGGAGATTCTTAGAGGATTTCATTTGCACATTAAGAGATTTTTCTTTTTAAAAAAATATTTGTGAGTGTTCGGGTCAGTTTGTGTCTATGTTGACTAATCTTTCTCAAGAGCAATCGTAACTTGCGTATATTTTAACTAATCTCATCGGGACAATCGCAAGCTTGTGCACACGTCAACTTTATCTCATGGGAATGACTACTTGATCCTAGTGCATTTGGTTCCCGATAAAACTCGTAGGATTTTAAACCATTCGATAGGTGTCTAACACTGTTTGAATTTATTTCCTCTAACCCCTTTGACGTTATAAATTTTACAAATTTTACGATGTTATTATAGGCTTTGTACTAAAAAACATCATTATAGGCTCACTAATAAGAGCATAGATCATTCTTAAAATAAAATGTTCTTATYATAGTTTTATCGTGTTATTTTAGGGTCTATTTAGTATCGTTTCCSTTTCTTGTTTCTCCTTTCCAAATTTATTAAKAAATTTAAGCATTTGACAACTATTTACTTTTTTTGTTTTCTCATTAGAAAAACATTCTCAAAATTGTATAAGAATTTTGAAAACAACAAAAACAAGTTTAAAATAAAAATTATTGTTTCTTGTTTCTTGTTTTCATTTCTAATTTGTTTCGAAACATAAATAAAAATATCGTTTTGTCATTTTTGAATAATCTATGAGTGTTGTGGACTTTGCATTTATATTTTTCAAAAAATGAGAAATAGAAAYAAGAAACGTGAACGTTGTCGAAGGAGCCCTGAACTACTTTTTCACCCTGCACTAGTAATCATCRAATATAGTTTTGAGGTTTGATGGTTTATTGATTTAGTGACTCTAAACTGGTCATTTTTACAATTTTGACKGTATATTACTTTATTTTTTCATATTGGTGGAATCAATATTTTTTATACAATTATATGTATATAATTAACTTTTTATATTAAACTTAAATATGTCTATTTATTACATAGACATTTCAATAAAAAAAAGCTTTTAAAAATATATAATTTCAATAGAAAAAAAGCCCTAATAAATAGGTTACAAATAAGGAAAAAAATAATAAAATTGACAAAAGYTTGAAAATGAAATTTAAATAAATATTGAAAAATTTAGAGCCGATAGCCATTTCGTTTTTGATTTTTTGTTTTTAGTTTTTACTTTTTTWAAAACAGTGTTGTTTTGGATAAYAAATTCAATTTTCTATTTTCTGTTTTTCAAAAACCATTTTAAAATTTTACGTAAATTTCAAAAACAAAAAGTAGTTTTCAAAAACATATTTTGATTTTTTTTTCTCCTAATATTCAACTTTTTTTTTTCTAATATTTTTTTCTAAAAAATTTTTTTTTACTCTAAATTTTTTTTTCTTTCTAAATTTCTTTCTACAAAATTTATTTCTCTTTATGAAATTTTCATATTTTGAATATTTATTATTATTTGTTTCTCTCCCCAAATTTTTCTGTATTTATTTTTTTTTKTAACAGATCAGTTTCATTTCTCYCTCTAAAAATTTAATATTTTTCTAACTTTTTTATCTCTAAACTTTCGTCTTTTATATCGTTTCTTTCTTTTCGTAATCTATTTTTTCCTTTGAAAATTATATTTTCTTTCCCTGTAGCTTTTATTTATGTCTATATTTATTTATTTTCTCTAAAAAATATATTTTAAATATTGTTTTTATCTCTAAATTTGTTTCCACTATAATTTTTCTCTTTCTTTCTATTATTTGTTTCTCAACATATCTTTTCCTCCCAACTYTATTTTTTTCCTCTAAAATTTTTCTCTTTTTGTCTTTAACTTTTCTTTCACTAATTTTTTTTCTAAACTTTTTTATCTATCTCTCTAAAATTTATCTTCCAAAAGTTTATTTACATCTCTCTAAACTTGTATTTTCATGTCTCTACATTAGGCATGACAAAAATTTCTGTACAATTGAGCCCAAAAATAGGAAATGCATGTCTCGACCCCATCCTCGATTCCATTTTTATACTTAGATTCTAAAAAGAACTAAAAACAATTATAAAACTGATAATTTTACTCGAGAATATCTCTCGAACCGAATAATGAGGTGGATACAGAGACTAAAAATTTTCATAAGCATGAGAATGGGAAGAATCCTCACTCGCACCCACATCATTGTTATCTCTATTCTACATGAAATTTTCCCCCTAATATGTATTTTCAATTTTCTAACTTTTTAAAAATAGAAAAGTAAAAATAGTTTGTTTGGTTTTCTAAAACAGAAAACCAAAAACCAAAAACTAAATACAAGAAARCCCAAAAATCAAATGGTTATCAACGGTTCCTTAAAAGATCAAAATCATAAATAAAATTTAAAATTCACAAAGTATTAAATTTAAAATTTTGTTYTAAAAAATTAAAAGGCCCAGTTAAAARATTTGCCCAAGAAGAATCCATGTTGATTTGTAGRAATATWRTTAAAAATATCTTAAGCAAACTCAAAACTTTATGATGATATGTGTTAGGCCCAATTCAAATTGTAARTCATAGTCCAAATTGTGAGTCTAAACCATTACAAAATGGTTGCTGAGTAAGGTATTCTCTTAGTATGATTTGGTTCAGGAGCAAAGTAAATATGAGCTAGTTATATGTGATGCCTAGGGTTAACGAGGACGGGGAGAGATCATCGGTGCGATGGAGAAAGTGAGATTAAAGAGTGTGTTGGAGAGTAAAATATGACACACCACGCGGATGAATTTTCTAAACTCRGTAATGTGTATCCATTTGCACCTTACATTTGGATAAGTGTGGTAATTTTCGCCTGTATCGCAAATTTTACCATTCGATAAATTTTCATTTGAAAATTTGTTGAAAGCAATATTCTCCTATGTTAAATGAGTTTAAAAAAATCATGAAAAAATTGATAGGACTCAGACAAAGATAGCAATATATATTTTTTAAAACTTATTTCTAAGTTTTCACTMAGTTATTTAAGAGTAAATTTTGTATATTAATCAAATTTAATTTTAGAAACTTGATTTTTATAAATGAGTGAGTTTTTATTGGATAGAAGAATAAAAGTTATGACACTTATATAAGTTTAGGTTATAAATTTAAATTTATTAAAATAAATATTTTTCATGATATAAACAAARTTACTGATATTTTGTTTGAAAAAAACTTAATTAGACATAAAAGTTAAAATAGTTTATTTTCAATAAAAAATTATTAAAAAAAAAAGTTGAAATAGGCTGAAGTTTAGAATAGATGGAAATAAAAATCTATTAAACAAAATCAAAATAGGTCTCAAACAATCTAAATAGGTTTGGAAAACAAAAATCAATAAAAAAAATATTTTAAAACATAAAAGAATAAAAATATATTTAAAAATAAAAAATAATATAAATATACTTAAAAAAATAAAAATCAATAGAAATATATTTAAAAAAAATGCAGTTGCTGGATTTGATGCCAGTATGCAGAGGGTGTAAAAAATAAAAAATAAAAATAAAATAATGAATCACCGAACAGGAGTTTATAGCCTTTCTTTGACAAACTAGCTACTCGTCTCGGGCAGAAACCTTACGGCAAGCCTCTGGAGAGGGCAACCCTTGACGTGGGGACTCTCTCTTGGGGTCTTTGGCTTTACTCATTTAGGGCTTGCTTGGCCCATCAATTCCTGGTGGCAAAGTGGGCGGGRCAATCATATGCTCGGCGAGGAAAGCGCTTGAGGAGATATAAGGACTACGATCTCTTAGAGCTATTTTTTTCTTACTACATCTTAGAAAAGGGGGAGAAAAAGAAAAAATCYTTGGAAAAGCCGAGAGACTTTAGAGGCTGGAGAACTCATTGGGTTGTTGCGAGCGGAACGAANCTGGAGAACTCATTGGGTTGTTGCGAGCGGAACGAACAGGGCGTGCTTTGGAAGAAGCGATCTRTTACCGAGCCGTATTATTGGGAATAACGAAAGCATCTCTAAATACTCAAAGTTTCATATCGGAAGCAAGTTTTTAAGAAACTGCTCGAGTTTTAGCAAAAGYCGCCCTCCGAGGTCGTATCGATTGGTTGAGAGGTCTGAAAGAGAACGTTGTTCTAAGAGGAATGAGACCAACATAATAAAAAAGTTACAAAATTAGCTATAAATTTTTTAGTAGAGATTAAAAAAAATACAACCTAATCATTATAAATAAGTGTGTTTTTTATATAAATTATTGTAATGATTTATATGGTCGAAGATTTATAGAAAAGATATGTTCCAAATAAATATATACCTTTACTTATACTAAAATAAATTATATTTTATAGATAAAATAAATAAAACTATATAAGAGATAACAAAAATAAAAAATAAAATCTACGTAGATAAATGTAGATATTTTAAATGGATGAGAATTGTMTACATTATACATGACTTCACTGATTTTTTATTTATTTATAAATTATTGTAAAGATATATTTGTACTTATATGTAAAGAGATTTATTGAAAAAAATTATATTTTATGTCAATATAAACTTTTACTTATATATAAAATAATTAAAATAAATAATATTTTATATGTAAAATAATTTTAAAAACTACATAAATAAATATATAAATATTTTAAATTTACTTCTATAAATGAAAATTGCGTATAGACTTCTATAAATATTGTACCCGACTTCCATTAAAATTGTGTACAATGTATGTGATTTTTCTAACTCATCTTTCAATTTTCACCTATGTCATGTTGGTACCTAAATCGCATTTATTGTAGATAATTTTTTACTTTAACCTATTTCTCTCAATAGTTTGAATGTATATTTTAATTTTATATGTTTTTTTTATTGAAATTACATTTATTTTGTTATTATTAAATTACATTATTAACTTAACTCCTCTCTCTCTTTCTTTTTTTGTTTTTAAATTTGATTTCCAAACAGGCCGCAAAAGTTTTCCGTCCACAAGGATCTTTGGAGTCTTTTGACTCACCAACCCACCGGCGGCGGCGTTCGTCAACGTCGAGTTCTTCCGATCATCCAAAGCCACCGCCCAATTCATCCTTCACGGCAAACCTGCGTACACCTCCGACGACCGTACAGTGCGTTTTCAGCCCTAATCTCCTTCTACTGCATCTCCATTTAGCAGCCCTCCTGCTCGGAAATGGTGTTTCTTCAATCACTCCGTTCGGTCCGAAGCAAAAATCACTGTTAGTTGCGAGATACGGCGCGGAAGAGGAGGAGCATGGAGGATCTCTATGTCTGGCTTGTGTCATTCTTGTTCCTCATTGCTCTTCTGATAGTCGTTGTTTTTCAGGTAAATCCAATACCCTATCTCTTCAATTTGTGTCGCATTATCTGCTAGTTCGAGTAGGTGAAGTGGAATCAATTTGAATCGAGGACGGTATATAACAAATTCTTCTCAAACGCGGATCCAAATTTTGTTCTGCTCAGAGAGATTGTTCTCCCTTTAACTTTAGGGTTTGTTATGTTCACATATTCTTCTTCACTTGGCAATTTTGAAGTACTTTTAAAGATTAGCGTAAATTTCACTTGTGAACTTCTGGATTTGTATTGAGTGCTCCAGCAGAGGATAGTGATCGATTTTTTTTTTTTCCTTTTTCTTCTATTTATTTTTGTGCTTTGGATTCCCCATGGAATGATCAACTGCATGCCATCTTCTCAAATTTTCTTGCTTAATAATTTTCACTTTTCTCCAAATTCTTTAAAAGATTCTGAGGTCAAGGTTTTTTTGGCGGTAAATACTGCATTCTAAACTATTGGGAAATACTGTAAGTTTATTTGTCAATAAATACCCTTTCCTTTTGATCTCATGTGTCGTGAGAAAAGTATTATTAACTTTCGGCTGCCTATTCTCCATGGCATCTGGACTAAAAAGATTATGGATGTAATGGGTCATTACAGCATGTTGACTGATTCTTAGTTAGAATATTTAATACTGCCCTGAATTTTCTAATGTTGATCTACGGAATACCTATTGGTAGAAGCTGAATTTTCAATGAGGCTGGGAATGACTGATGAGCTTGTATTAAAAACATAGATTTCAAAATGACCAAATGACATATTAGAAGTTGTTCAAGTCAATCTTTCCTGTGGTGTTTAAACATATCGGTTGCCTCTCTTTGAACTTTTTAAGTATGAATGAACAAAAACCAAGTTCCTCCTCGTGGGGTTTGGTCTCTAACGCCTTTTGTAATTATCACTTAGGTGTTATTTTTTTGGATTGGAGTCMTTTTCTTTAGTGGGCGTCCTCTTGTAGGACTGTTTTTTTTTATGCCTTTTGTACTTCTTCTTTTCATTTTTCTCGATGAAAGYGTGGTTTTGTATAAAAAAATAAAAAGTAAAAACCAAGTTCCTGTTGTTTAACTTTTTTTTTTTTTTTTTAATATCTTCGTTCCTTTTGTAGCTGATGTGCTTGGCGGATCTTGAGTTTGATTATATCAACCCTTATGACTCTGCTTCTCGAATAAACCAAGTGATTATGCCGGAGTTCTTTGCTGTAGGAATTTTGTGCCTCTTCTATCTTTTAACAGGGCATTGGGCTATGTCACTGTTTTGTGGGCCCTACATATATTATAATGTGAGATTGTAAGTGTTTTCATTCCTCACCTCTGATTCAACTTATCTAAATCAAGTAATGCCTTTTTACAATTTTCTTTCACACAGCGTGATTTGTGTTGTATTGTACTTTTCAACTAAGAAGCACATGATTTTGAACAGTTTGAATAGATGGGATATTTGCTTCTGATTTTGACCATTTAGAAATACCAGAGCCTCCTGTCGATTTGACACAACTTAAGAAGTACTTGATGTTAGATTTGATGATTATCCTCAAAGCTAGTTCTACCTTGTAAGGGTAGGCTTTCAGAGCATAGGATAGATCATATTGGTATCTGGTTGTAAGCTATGGCTACATACAAATTGTAGTTTGGATGTGACAGGAGACCGTATTTGGAGAATACGTATTGATTTTAATTAAGTTTCTAATGCAATTTGTCGGACTAAGGAATATTAACTGCCTTTGATGTGTTGTATAAGGTATTGGGGTTGGAGCTTGCTTGTTTCCATCTCAGAAAATAGATGTGGTCGTATAGAGCAGTAGTAGAACTTCCTTGGTTGAACAACTAATTTACCATGCATTGCAGTCATCACATTCTGTATTTAAAGATATTCTTGATTCTTAAGGAGGACCAGAATTAAGGAATCCCAAATTTTAAGTTGTTTGAAATTGGACTATGACACTGTATGATTGAGAGATAAAGGCACCATTCAAAACATTTGAGGCAGAATCCTGCTTTGGCCTAAAGTCGAGACGTATCATATGCTAGGAAAAGTAAGCATTCTGAAAATTATGATATTTTGATGTATTACCTCCAGCTTCTGTGTCGTGGCCATATTTGTTACATTTTTGCAGCTCCACAGAATATCATCTGTATATCACTATACTCATTTTGTCTTTTCTTGTGATCAGGTACCTACGAAGACAGCATCTGATAGATGTTACAGAGATATTCAATATGCTAAATTGGGAAAAGAAGCAACGGWTTTTCAAACTAGTCTATCTAGTTTTCCTCCTCTTCCTCTCTATATTTTGGTACTTCGAGACAGGAAACGCTTTTAATTGTCTTGTTTTGTCGTTCTTTATCTCTAATACATCGGACCAATTTCRCTTCATTTGTCATTGCAGGATGATATATAGTGCATTGGAAGAAGATGAATGATCAACAGCTTATGGCATGTGCAATTGTGAGTTGAATTTCTGTCCTTGAGTACATTTTTCTGAAGCAAACTTCTATTAGAGTCTTGATGGGCTAGGAATTCAATTCCACTTGAATTAGGTTCTTCAATACTGGTCTGTTTAAGTACTTTTCAAAATCATTTTTAGGCCATGGCATTTCCTTTGTAACTTTCGAGGTCAATTTATAATGATACTATGGAAGAGTTCGAGGTTCCAAGGGATTATCTCGAAGATTTATTTCGGAACACTTCATACTTCACTTTTTTCTGGTGTGGCAGACATGCCTATATTTCTTGGTTTCAATAGTATTACTTACCAGCATTGTTTCTATCTACTATTATCTAAAATTAATAAAGTTATTAATGATTGGATGAAACCAAGAAATAACCCTCACATGCGAAATTATAGAAGATCAAACAATTTCATCGAATTGAGTATGATTGTATTTGTGATGGTATCTACTAGATCAGGAATATCAATGAACCCGATATTACCTTAGTTTATTTCATTGCCTAAGTCATGTGTCACATTAATCATCCTACACATSAGATAATAGGAATTTCTACTAATATTTTGAAGTGGTGGTTAAAAATTGACCAAAGAAAGAACAAAATGAAAATAGTTAATAACAGTTCTCATTGATGTATAACTATATATATATTTTTTATTTCTTGAAATTGATGTCGTGTGATTTATGCTAATGGATTCCTATAAATGGGGTTCGTTGYTTGAGTTGAACAACACTGTGATCAATACAAAATTTGAACYTGAGACTTTACTATAGATAGCTCCAAGACTCTAAGCACTTGCCAATGCGCCATCCCTAAGACGATGCCTAATTAGTATTGTTCTGAAGGGGTGTATAACATAGAAAACCCGAACCAAGTCAGAACATAGAAAACCCGAACCAAGTCAGTTGATTTGATTTGCCTTTCCGAGGATATTTGATTTTTTTTTGTTTAAATTAAAGAAAAATTTTTGGTTTGGCTTGACTTATTGAGTAAAAGATTAATCAAATTAAACTGAGCTACTATATATTGGCCCAACAACATGAGATTAAGAGACTTTAAACAAAAAAATCAAACTGCATAAGGATTTTTTTTTTCAAACAAAATGCATTTAAGCTAACCTAAAAACTCACGAGTATATAAATATAATCTTTAAAAACTCAACAAATTTTAACATCTTTTAAACTTTAGTCCTTAAAAAAAAATGTTAAAATTTGTTGACACAACTAGACTAGATTATGTTTAATTGGTAAGTTAGATTTCGTTGATGGGCAAGTTGAATCCACCTTAATAGTTTGTTCACTATGTTTAGATATGTTAATAAAATAACAATCTAATATTACATCAACTTTTTTTAGCAAATTTTTTTACTCAATAAGTTCAATTTAACTTTTTTAATATTTTAAAAATAAAATTGAGAACTTTAATCACCAAATTAGTCCATTAAAGTGATGAAAGGCCATCTGGTATATTTAGGCCTATATATATTAAACACCAATTTCCCCTTGTAAAGAGTTCATTCATCCCTCCCTCTTATCTCCTCTCACACATAATTCAATACCAAAACAACAATATTTGGCTGCTAACTGGGAAGAATGATACTTAATTGCTAGTCGGTCAGTCGGAAATTTCTGACCACCACTAAAAATTTAACAGCTATTTATTGTTTTTGGAAGACAAAAAATTATCCTCTCTCCCTCTTCTCACATTCCTCGGTATTTTCTCTACCAAAATTAGACCACCCGTTGTCTCCATTTTTCAAACAAACCACTTCAATACCTATTTTATGCAGGATCAGGAGTGAGATACATGTCATAGTAAAGAAACATCAATACAAGTAAACTGTTGGGAGGAAGTACGAGTTATCGAAGCAAAAGCTAAGACTTCCGAAACCATAGACTCTAAAATACACTTGTCTTCAAGTAGGTTTCTCATAAGAATTCTGATCTCGAAATTCAGAAATGGCGTTTTGAATCATACCAGCTACCTGGGGTTGCACAAACATGTGGGTGTTATCCAAAATATGGATGATAAATCTTTGGGATGCAGGCAAGGAAGCGTTGTAATTGATGATAAATTGTGCCATAGGTACGTCGCTGCACAAGGAAGAAAGCAATTTATTTTAGGAACAGGAAAAAAAAAAAAAGCCTAGGATCTATTCCTCATGAAAAAGTAAGGAATTCCACATATTTTGACCTATTCAACCTCAACAAAACTAAACTAGGATAAGTTGCACCAAAACATCCCGATTCAAGATGGGAAAGAAGGGTAACATCAAATGCATAGCAGCTTTGAATATAAAGAATGTATGAACTTAGAACGGATGTTGTATCACCACGGTAATCAAAAAGGCATATAGTATCCATAAATCATGGTCAATTCTTGACATAGAAATCAATACAATTTGTGAATGACACATGATTCCATACACAAATGAGAAAACATATATCAAGCTTTGTGAAATATTGCAAATTAAACATTCTTTTTTTTTTTTATAACCGGGAGTTCGAGCTTTGCTCCCTTATATTCAGGAACACCCGTGTCCGGCCCAAGACCTGGACCCGGGAGACATCAAGAGTTTTTGGTATTAAGCTCATCAATAGGTTCGAACTTGAGACCTCTTAACCAGTATGTCCTTGTCAACTGGACTGCCCTTGGGGCTGCAAATTAAACATTCTACCATGTCATAGTGCAAATTAAACATTCTAGCATGTCATAATGAATTGCACAATGGTAAGGAGCAACTTTTATGAGGTCATGAGACGAGGGACCTGCCAAGGTCATAATTCCTTAAAACTTCTTTTGCTTAAATGAGGAACAAAAACTGATAGCAAAATCCCAGTGTCTCTTTCCAAGTGTGCAGACGAGATCATCTAAAAAACAGGGAGAGAAGAAAAATGAAGAGTATTGATAGAGAACATCAGAATGAGAGTTTCTAGTTTTTCTTTTTCTTCTTTCATGAGAAGTCAAGCTTTGGCTGAGAAATAAGAAAGAAGCAACAAGGGCATACAAAAAAAAAAACCTACCTATCAAAAGGGTCCAAACTAACCAATGGGCTCCAATACAAAATAATAGAACCTAACTAACAATTACAAAATAATTTAGTAACCGAAGCCTATAGAGAAATATTAAATCTAACAACCTCCCACAACTCTTCCCAGGACTTCTAACACTCCTCCTTACCATTTCACTCCAGCCATAAACCCTACAAGATAGCACAACATGTCTGCCAAAGAACTCTCCTCTTATCGCGAATGGAGCACCTCCTCTATCATAGAACAACAATCGCTATCACACACCCACACAATCCCAAAAGCCGAAGCAAAGCAACTCCATAAAACATGAGCAAACAAGCACTCCAGAATTTCTGTCATTTTAAATGTCATACTAATTCCAAAGTCTCAATCCAAGTGTTCAAAACACATCAAGCTAAGGTGGGAGATACAAAGGAAGAAAAGAACAAGAGCCCAAGTATTAATAGACAATATCAGAACGAAAGTTTGTAGCTGTCATTTAGAATGGCTTAACAATCCCAAAGAGTGCATCCCAGTGTGCAGAAGATATAATCAAGATATCACAAAGGAAGTTCCTAGTCATTTAGAAGCTCTGTCGTCTCAAATGTCATAACAATTCAAAATAGCAGAATGAAGCAAAACAACTAACAGGAGAAAGTCCATCCCAAACAGATTTCTATCTTTAAAGTATAAGGCAATTACCAGGAGATAAATAGCCCTTTAATGGCATTAACCATGATGTCAAAAACGTTCACCCTCGAACGGCAGCAGCAAGCAACGAAAACTGAAAAACCACTACATTCCAATTTCCAAGTGATTAATCGAACTTCAACGATTGGCCCAGAAGAACAAATTTGAACTTCCATAGAAAATAAAACAAAAACATGGATTTAATCCACGAGATCGATCGATACGTGAAACCGGGTGAAGAGAAACGAAAATATAATTGACCTAAGAAAACCCTAGATCGAGATAAGTTATCAGCGCAATCAGCAACATCAAACGTACCGCTGTTTTCTTCTTCTCAGAATTGGTATGAACAGAGGACGAGAAAGATTTCTGTAGAATGTCCACCGGAGGAACGTCTCCACTGCAACTCAGAACTCCGTTGGGATCAAAATTTTTTTCTTAACGATATTTTTTATTTATGTCAAAAACTACTTTTATTTTGGTCTTGTACTTTAACATGTAACGTCTGTGTTATTAAACTTTTTTTATAATAATTTAGTTTTTATAATTTAAAATTTGTAATAATTTAGTCTCGATCATGTAAAATTTTATTAATATGTAATAGGGGCTTTACAATATGTGGATCAATAAAATGCTTAAGAACTAAATGTGTTTATAGAACTTCAAGAACTAAATTGGTACATAATAAAAATTGATACTTTTCCTCGTTGAAGTAGGACTAAATTGTAAATTGTTACAAAGTTAAAAGTACAAGAACCAAATTGTTACATATTTAAATCTATGGACTAAATCATTAGTAATGAAAGTACATGACCAAAAAAATGTTGTTTTTAACCTTTTATTTAAATCTCATTATGGTCATTGAATTCTTAAGTTCTTTTTTTTCATTTTTATTTATAAATTTTCAAAACGTCTATTTTACTTTCTAAATTTTTTAAAAAATTCAACTTTGATCTTTGTTCTTATCGTACCACCAAATGTTTGTTTACTTAATATATGCCTTAACCAATATATGTGACTGTTGGATGTTTAATATGTGAAAGAAAGTGAGAAAACCGTTGGGTATACAAATTTAACATGCGGAAATTAAATTTGTGTATTAAGAATTTGATTGTGTAACAAATTCTTTATGTTTCAACTTTTGTGTCCTGTAACATCAAATTTGTTAAAGTTACAAATATGTTAAAGTTACATATTTATTAAAGATGAAGTTATCTTTTAAATAAGAAGTTTTTTCTTTTATTTGGTTAAAGTTACAATTGTAACTTTATATATGTTTAAGTTTTTGGGAGATGTTACACATTTAGACAACTATATATAGTTATTTTCCTTCATTTTGATATATCCAAGCATTTCTCATTTTAAGTTCTTCCTCCTCTCTCAAGAGTTCTTTCCTCTCTTGAGTTGTTTTTCTTGTTTGTGTTGAGAGCAAGTGTCTAAGAGTTCTGCCAGATCCGAGTAGTTCGAGGCTGTAGTTCTACCGAAGTTAATCGTTGTATCATGCTGAGACGATCGTTATAGTCTACTAGCAACTTTTGTAGAGCGAATAATTGTCCTCAAACCAGCGCTATTGTAGCCAGTTATGTTGTAAATTGTTGCTAGTGTTATTAGTTTACATATACAACGTGTATTTATCCAACAGTGATTATGATACATGTCTACGTTAATACGTTAATATACATATTTGAAGTCACGATATCTATCTAACTATTAAACAACTAACTATAAAATAAATCATGATGAGAACCAAAATGACTGCTTAAAAAATTGATGATGAATAAAATAGACATTTTAAAAATTGGTCAAAATAAAAAAATTTATATTTTAAAAATGTTTGGGGGTAAAAATACCTAGGACACGTGGAGGACACTTATTGGTGTTTGAGGAATTGAATAAAAGGAATTGCCCAGGTCTACCTCGGCCCTGCCGAGGAGACCGGGTTCGCCCATTACAAAAGGCTAAGTATAAATGCCAAGGTTCGACCTAGCTGGGACTCGATCTACTCGAAACCCGACAGGTCCGATATGAGAAAAAACATGTAACCGTCGGTCGTGTGTACTGTCGGATCCACCACCTATAAATAGAGGGCCTCATTTCTTGCTCAGGTATCGAATTTCACCTCAAACTAAATACGGAGTCCGATCTATACTGACTTGAGCGTCGGAGAGTTTACCCTCTTGTGTAGGTTCACTCTTGGGTTCAGGTCGAGCCAAGGACCGGGTTCGAGCTAGGTTCATAGAAAAGCGTTGTGCAACTCTTTGCATAAACATTTGGCGTCGTCTGTGGGAACCGACATCTTAAGTCATCCCGATCTAGGAAGCCTATGCAAATATGGTGCAGCTAGCAAACTCTGCTAATACGATGGAACGGAGGAGTTTGAACGCTGATAACGGCACTCAGCGAGACCTCGACGCTAGAATAGTCGAGGACCAGGTCCGACCAGGACAAGAGGGAGATCTGCCACGGAGATCTAC